GTTAATAATCAGATTCAGATATTAGAGAATTCAATGTGATCTCATTAGTAATCATACTGTAGGTATTTACACATAAAGTTTGGTTCTGGCACACATACAATTTGCCTGCATTGAAAAACACACTAAAACATCATTAATGCACTGACAGCATCTAAAACACATCTAAAAGCATTTTGCATATGAACAACTTTTAGAGACGTACATAAATAATCTATACAAATGTATTTCTAATATAAATATAAAAGATTTGTAAAGTTTTTTATAGCTCATGTAGAATTTAAATGCAGTCAATATGTCTATGTTTTACTTTTCAGCATATATCCAAATATACAAGAAAGTACATGCAAACTGAATGAACGAATACTAATGAGATGAACAAGCATGAAAACTTAAAGCAATACACCTTTTACATTTGTAATACTTTTGCTGAGAAATGCAAGTAATTTTTTATTATTCATTTTAGATCCATTCCGGGACACAATTTGCTAAACTTTGCCAGGTCAGATCAGAGTTATACAGCTCCATGGTGAAGAATGAGTGCTGTCCAAGTTGGTCTCTGGGAAACTACTTGGCTGTTCTTAACAACGTTTCTTCCTGCTTTAGTCTGACAGCACAGCAGGTTTCTGAAAGCCTTGGCCTGCTCAGATTCTGTGCCCCTTACTACCATGATGGAAGACTGGTTGCATCATGTACTGAGAGGAGTAAATTTGGCCGCTGTGCATCCGTTCCACACCGCTGTAAACTGTCAAGCATCTACCAGATTCTCCATTACCTTGTGGACAAAGACTTCCTGGGACCACAGACTGTTGAATACAAGGTCCCGTCCCTAAAATATAGCACTGTATTTCTACCAGTAGAAAAAGGAGATCCACTAATGAAAATATATTTGGACTATCTAGAGGGTCGCGAACTCACATACAATAACACCACCATAACAGGAATGGATTTGGGAATTAAACAAAAACTTTTCAAGTATTACTTGGCACGGGACTCTGTCTATCCTGTTCTTGCAGCTCTTGCACTTTTGTTCACAATGGGACTATATCTCAAATCACTATTTATAGCAGCAATGTCACTGGTTGCTGTCATATTATCGCTTTCCACCTCATATTTTTTCTACAAAGTTGCATTTCGCTTGACATTTTTTCCACTCCTCAATCTTGCATCAGTCCTTGTGCTTTTGGGAAGCTGTCTGAATCAAGCCCTGACTTTTGTTGATTTCTGGAAACTACAGTTAAGCCACAACCCTCCAGCTGTCCCTGAGAAGAGAATGAACCGGGTTTTACAGGAAATCGGATACTTGATATTAGTGTCAGGTCTGACATCTAGCATCACGTTTTACTCGGGCTACATAAGCAGCATCACCGCCGTGAGATGCTATGCTATATATCTTGGCAGTGCCTCATTAATCAACACATTATTTGCTCTCGTTTGGCTTCCGTGCACCCTCATTTTGCAAGAACGCTATGCTGTGCTGTCTTCAAATCCTGTCGTGAAGGCAGCTTGGAAGCCCTGCTGCTCCAAAAATACGGGTGGATTCTGGGAGACAAGTTCAAGAAAGCGCTGTCTGTTTACTTTGAGACAGAAGCTTCGGACATTAGGGCGAGGGTTTTCGGACACATCAAACCTGCTTTTTTTAAAGATCCTGCCTTGTGGAGTTGTGAAATTCCGATACATATGGATCTGCTGGTTTGCAGTCCTTGCCGTCGGTGGAACGTACATATCATGCGTAGACCCTGGCATGAAACTGCCAACTTCAGACAGCAGAACCACTCAGCTGTTCCGCTCCAGTCATCCCTTTGAGAGATACGATGCTGAATATCGCCACCAGTTCATGTTTGAGCGAATGAAACAGGGTGAAGATGAACCCATTACACTGACTCTAATTTGGGGCGTAATTCCATCAGATGACGGTGACCAATTCGATCCAAAAAGTAATGGATCTTTAGTTCTTGATCCAGGGTTCAATATAAGCAGTCCCCAAGCCCAACTGTGGTTGCGGGATCTGTGTGGAAAAATTCAAAACCAGAGCTTCTATTCTCCATTACCAGCTGACCAAGAAACAGTAGAAGACAATGTGTGCTTTGTGGAACAATTGATTCACTGGGTTTCTATACGTCGCTGTTCCGAAAGCGAGGATGCGTTTAGCTTCTGCTGCAATAATATTCCCTTTCCTTACCCACCAAGTGTTTTCGAGCAGTGCCTTAGCATGATGGTAGCAGAGCAGCATGCAGAGGGGCACTCACCCAGTGCCGGAGGCCTAAGGTTTGATTTGGAGGGTCGAATCACTGCCCTTGTTGTAATATTCAAGACTGTACACCTTTACAGCTTCAACTTCAGCAGAATGTCTCAGTTCTACCAAGAGATCTTATCGTGGTTTAATGGGGAAATGTCCAAGGCTCCAGTAGGACTGCAGAAAGGATGGTTTGTAAGCCAACTAGGCTTATATGACCTCCAGCATTGCTTGAGCTCAGAGACATTGGAGGTGGCAGGCTTTTCTGTTGCACTCACATTTGCACTGCTCTTACTAACAACATGGAATATTCCATTAAGTGTGTTCGTGTCCATTGCGGTGGGAGGAAGTGTGTTTGCTACTGTTGGCCTCCTTGTGCTTTTAGAATGGCAGTTAAATGGTGTGGAAGCACTCTTCATTTCAGCAGCTGCAGGTCTTTCTGTTGACTTTGTGGCCAATTATTGCATTTCATACAGCCTGGCCCCACACAATGACAGACTGGGCAGGGTTGCACATTCCCTGAAGAGAATGGGTTGCCCGGTAGCTACAGGTGCTGGGGCATATTTTTGCGTGGGCATTATTATGTTACCCGCAACTGCATTGCTTTTCAGAAAACTTGGGATCTTCCTCCTAATTGTGAAGTGTCTTGCATGTGGCTTCGCTACTTTCTTCTTCCAGTCGTTGTGCTGCTTCTTTGGACCCCAGAAGAACTGTGGGAGAATAACCCTACCCTGTGTTACAAAGCAAGCCACTGAAAATAAACTGTCGTCCTGTTCGGCTACAGAGCCCGGGACCACAAATCCCGCAGCTAATGGGGCATTTGGCTGTGGCACGGGTTCTCGGGTTCGAAGAGGTTGTAATAAAGAAAGCGAAGACTTTCTTTGCCCCAATCAGCAACACCATAAAAAGCGGCAACCAGTCGGTGGAAGGGAGCCGGAACAGTACGAACTGCAGCCACTTGCTTGCCAGTTGAGCGACAGCTTCGAGAATAGCACTTGCACCAGCAAGCTGTCCAACAGGCCTTCTGTCCTTTCTGATGACATTCAGTTCTGTGGCCTTAGTCCAAGGCAAGACTATGATCGAGTCAGCATTGAGGCTGACAGCGCAGAAATGTGTAGCAGGCACCTTACGAGTTACAACCCACCTCCAGCGCTCCAGACCTCATCCCCATACAAAGAGAACATGTTGCGTCCTGTAGTTGCTCCTCCACAAGCTGCATCTAAAGAGAAGGTTTTGTGCAAGAAATGCCGCGGCCAGTCGAGCGGTGGGCTCCAACTTTGGAATGTGTCTTTGTCGTCTTCCTCTAGCATGGAAGAAATCATGATCACTCAGACTACAGACACTGTCAATGAAAGGTCATTCTCAGTAGATGAAGCCACTAGCTGTCATCTACACAAACGGCTATTGTCTTGTCAGTCTCAGAGCTCCATGGAGGGACTTGAAGACTCCAATGAGACCTGCTTAAGTGAGGTAGAGCCTGCTATCTTAGTCCCTGAAGCTGTTAAGTTTGAGGAAGAGTTACAACCTGGCCACCTTAATGGCAAGAGGGACACTTTACGTCTGTCCTTGAAGGAGACTGTACATGACCTTGCTTCCCCGGGGTCTAGTAGGGTGAGGACAACCCAAAGTGAGGTGCCAGTGATACTGCCCAACAGCAAACCCGATATGCCCGATGTTTGGATAAAAAGGGAGGGAAGAGGTGAAGGTGGCAGCTGATCAATATTGTCAACACACTGAGCAAATCTAAACAACCACAGCATGGCCAGTACTTTATATGGTGGGCTTAACTTTTGTACTCAGCAGCGTATTATTAAATTTCTCAATCTGTCTGAAAATGCATACCAGATAACAAAGACTAGTTAATTGTTTGGAAGTATACACAGTGCGTATAAAAATGTTAAGAGGACAGATTTTTTTTTGCATGATTCCTTGCATGTCATGTAAATATACACTGAATGTGCACCCACAATAGCCTTTGAAAAAGCCTTTCTTCAGGGGCCTTGAACTGCAAACTTACCAACACTTAAAGAACAATTGTGCCTGATCTTTTAAACAACCAAGCCATGAGCTTTTTAAACTCCATAATTTTGCAAAGATCACAATCATTATAAATTTATTTACTGTTTTTTTTTTTAGCCTCAACCAGTTCTCCAAACACTTTTCAATTATACACTTGAAAAGCAGTGGTGACATACACACTTTATTTTCTGACCAAATCTGGGAGACAATTACATCATCCTCAAAAAACCCAAACCATCAGATGATCCATTGGAAACTATTGCATAGACTCTATATGTCCCCTTTAAATGCTTCTATATGCATCTGTCACCTTCCCCAAATTGTAATTTATGTCCGCAGAGGGCACTGGGTACATATTTAAATTTTTTTGGGGAATGCTCTGCACTTTTTCCTTTCTGGTCTCAGCTTGCTCATGACATATCATTCCTGTTAGATAAGGATATGGTGTTGACTCCAGAACTGTTCTTCTTAAATAACTTTTCTGAATTGGCATTGTCTTCGCAATGTACTTTTAAAATGTACGTTTAGCTGCTCTCACTGCGGCAAAGAAAATGTTAAGTCAGTCGCTGGATTCCTCCACATACGATGAGCAGGCGTGTATGGGGCTTATCTTTGCTGGACATTATTTCCTTGGAACTATCAACAGCTCACATTCATGGTGCAAAGACTAAAACTTTGAAGACCTGGAGTGCTACTTTTGATATTGTTAAATCCTTTGTTTCTTCTTTTTGATGTACAATTTATTTTGTATTTATGTATACTTTCTGTTTATCTTATGATTAGGTATTTTACTTTTCTCCACTGCAATGTCTTATAATTCCTCAGCACAGTATAAGTCTACCTGGGGGGTGGGGGTTGGGGTGGTGATTACAATCTAATATGTTGTATCTTCTCTATATTGTACTGACTACTCAATTAAAATTGTTCACAAAAAAAATTATACACTTGAAAAGCACAGAAATAACCCACTACAGTAATTTTACACTTACCTTATGCCAGGAACACTTGGCATAGATGTGCTTGCTACTGTGGCTATAACTGTTTTATTCTTGAATACATTTTATTGAATGTTATGATACTACATTTTTAACCCTGAACTTTTCATAAAAGCTGTAAGGAAACATAATTTTGTTATTGCCAGAGCCATGGAAGTACCTCTTTTAAAAAAGACAATGACTGCCCATCAGAATATAGGCCAATTACAACGTTCTTTAGTCATAATGCTTCAGTGTGTGGACATGTTTCACTAATATCCCTGATTTATGAAAAACTGCAATATGATATTTCAACCCTATACAAGACTGTGAGTGTTACCTCAATGTTCAGTATGTATTTGAAAGATACACATGGTTTAGAATGCAAACGTTTGTATGTAAAAAGTGGTGTTTTGTGATGTGCACAAAGATGTCAATCCTTTATGAAACTGGAAAAACTTAGCAAATGTTAGTTGTACTGCAAAATGATGTTTTGCTAGAAAGAACATCCTTCTTTTTATATTCAGATTCATTAAACGTTACTTCATTAAGTCCAGCGGATGTGTACTTTACATTGTCAATGCATCTTAAAATACAAAGTGCCAAAATGTAAGAATGATTTGTGCCAAAAAGTTTTTTTTCCCTGAAATTATGCAGCTGTATTATAAAACCTGCTGGTGTGGAACTACTGTTGTTGATAGCCTGTGCGTAAAGTCAGATTTGAAGTTGTCTGAAGATAAACTATGATGAAGTAGTTCATTAAAAAATAAAAATATTTTTAATTGAGATTACACTGCAATGACTTTCTTTGGTGGTTTTGAGTTCATAGGCAAGTTGAAACTGGACTACATAAGACAATTAAAAACCTCAGCTTCGTTTCTATGCATAACATTTTGCATGACACATTTGAATTAAAATTACTCTCACCTACTATTACTGAAGGGGAAATCATATTAAAAAACATGATTTATTTTTATTCCCACAAAAAAAAACTTATTGCTGTATGCTCATGTCAGATGAGATGTTTTCCTTCTCAAAACATAAGGAACTGAAACAAAACAATTGATGAAACAGAAATGCACCGCAATACTGACTAATAAATCCACAAATCTTAAATGAAAAGAAATTTAAAAAGTAGTTTTTTTTTAATTCACTCAGAATATATTTAGTAATCGAAGAGAACAAAAAAACAAAATCTCTGTAAACACGTGCGGTAATATCAGGTAACAAATGATGCATGAATACATCTGATTTTAGTTTAATCCTGAAGCCAGTCTTCTTTAGCCCAGTCAGGCATTTGGGTGGTATATTCAAAGCCAGGTCCTTTGTATCGTAATGCATGTAGGTACATAATCAAATCCTTCTCCGTTGGGTCAGGTCGCACAATTTTACACTCACCACATAAATTATCTCGGACAAAAGCATTCGATTTTGCAGTTCTGGAGGCTTCATCTGATACTGAATCCTTTTCTTTATGAGCACCACTCATCTTGTCTGCAGTCTCGGCTGCAGATGTGCTCTTGTGAAGTTCTTGACTACCTTCTGCCTTTACTTCCTCCTCTGTTAATTTACGCGAACCGTCATCACACACAACACCACTCGACGCAGGTGCAGTTATTTGATCATTGTGTTCTTGAACACCATCACTACACTCTGTCTTCGGCCCTTGCTTTCCTAAGACCTCTACATCAGGCAAATCCAACAAGTGCAGATTCTCTTTTGAACAATGCTCTTTTATAAGAGCTTCTAGAAGCTCTTCATCACTCATACCCACTAGCCCTCCTTTGGCTCTGTTTGGACCCCATGCAGAAGACCCATAGATGGGATCGTTGAGGATTGGAAAGCCGAGGAACTGAAGATGAACACGAATCTGGTGAGTACGTCCTGTGAGAGGCAGACAGCGGACCACACTAGAGCGCCCGTTATAGCTAAGTCTCTGGAAAACTGTGCGGGATTCTTTGCCTTTGGGATCCACCCTACAGAGGCCCACGCGGAAGGACACTAGCAGGATGGGTTCTTCACACACCACCTCACCCTCTGGAAACTCCCCTTCCACACGACACACATACTCCTTCTCTAACTGAAAAAGGAAAAAGAAAAGAAAGTATAGTTTAAATCTGCATGAAATTAAAATTCACCTTAACTATTTTATAAATGCATGTTATAGACCTTTGCCTGACAATTCCAGACTTTTAGAGGTTGCATACACTGTCATTTCTAGTTAATATTTTAGTAAGGAGACCTGCACATGACATGCAAGAAAAAAATCAATTAATTAAAAAAAAAAACGTGGCCATAAATTATGTTGTGGGAGCAGATTCTGAATTTGTGGTCACAATATCCAAATTTTCTTCCATTTATTTAATTCACGTTTAAAAATGTAGTAAAATATAACATTAAAATAATACATTAATTATTCACTTTTCAAACGGACAAATATATACACAGATAAAATTTGAATTAGTGTAAAGAATGTTATTTAATTGTAACAAAATAACACATTAACAACTGATATTTAAATGCAAGTTTTAAATTGCTGTTTTTTTAAGGAAAAAAAAACATTGTTTAAATGTCCTGTCCAATGGCATTATCACATCAAACCGTTCAAATTATTATTATTATTGTTATACTTTATTCTCAAATGATTAATGTTAACAACATCAGCATTGGTGACTATGAGTAGTGTGTATTAGCGTGTAGATTTCAATTTCTGCACAGTCTAATCTAATTGTCATACTCTTCGAATTTCATATTAAGAACTTCTTTTAACCCAAAAAGCAAATTATGCTCCATTCGCACCAAATACTGTTCTTTTTAGCAGCATCATATGACCCCTTTAACTAAAAAAAAGTTACGGACTGCAGCTTTAAATTAAGTGATTTTTTTCCATTTTATTTTTAAGCGACACTCCTAGTTCTCCATAAGTCTGTGGGTCAGAGTACCCCTTTAGACTAGTACCAACCACTGTAAACAGATTTTGGTCAACAGTTTTCCAAAGCTCAAGAATAAGTCAAATAATTTTCAGTGTTGATATAATTTAACCTTTACTTATATCAACAATTCCAACAAACTGTGACTGACAGAATGCAACATTTTTAAGACCGTACAGCAAATATGCCATTTAGAAATGTTGTCCTACCTGTCTCTCACGAACCATCGCATCCAGTTTTTTGGAGACCTCAAGTGTACGAGCAAACAGCAGCACACCTGAGGTGAGGCGGTCCAGTCGATGTACTGTGTGGAGGCCACTAAGGCCCTTCTCCTTTCCCAGAATGAAAATGACAGTATTGTGACGGTAGCGGCCACAGGGATGCACGGGAAGTGAGGCGGGTTTATCCACCACCACCAATTCACCATCATCCACCAGAACCTCCAAGGGCCTCCCACTCACAGGGGGCTCATGACGATGCACTGTGTTCCTCATAAAGTCATTATTCTAGACAAGCAAAAGAGATACAAAACAATTAAACAAACCAGCACATATAAAGAGACAGTCAGTGAGTGTTGTCACGTGATCTCTTACCTTTAGTATTATATTCAGGTCATCCACAGGGGTTTCATTCAATTTAATACGCCCCTCTTTGACAGCCTTATTGTAGTAATCCAGAGACTCCGCCCGGAATTCACTCTTAAAAATCTCTAGTAGTGTTTTACCAATCCAGCGTCCCTTACAGTAAGTCGTAAAATCAAAATAATAAGGATACACTTTGCGAAGACCGCTTTCAAAATAGTAGGAGGTTTCCGCAAAATGTTCTTGGCTGAAACTCACGCCTGGGTTGCGTTTCTGTGGCGGAGGCACGTACCGCTCTCCGGGACGCAGCTGTTTGCCGCACTTCTTTTGCTTCTTACGTTTGCCTTGTTTTGCTGCCTCATCCGTCTCCTCGTTTTTACGTTTACCGCGATTTGTTCTGACAGTGCTGTCCGTATCACAGCTGTCCTCTTTAGTCTCCATGGCGTGTACTTGAGTATAGAACTGTTGTTTTGCGAAGTTCAGATGTATTAGACTTGCGCACTATTTGTCCTGACATTTAGCGCTGTCCGTAGCGTTCCCAGAGTTTTAACACTCACGTTTTTGTTCCGATACAAGTGTCTCAGAAAATGGTTGTTTTCTCTTTTTCCAAAGCAAAGTAATGCATTTAAACCCGCTACCGTCCCTTTCGCACACGTGAACATGCCATCCAGCGGCTCAATGACCGGAATAAGATTTCCGTCTTGGGTTGATGACGTCATTTGTTTACGAATTATTTGTGGTGTAAAAATTTGTGTCTACTTTTATTCTACATTCTACTTTTATTCTTTTATTCTATTTCACAGGCCTATTTAAAAGTATTATATAAATATTTGTATAGATTTGTTTCTTCCCTTTTTTGTATGAATTCTTTCATTTCATTCTTTCTTGAAACTTGATGTTTAAATTATTTCCATGTGCACATTTTCTGAATATTGAACACATGTAAATCAATTAACAGCTATTGTTTAACACATATAATCTTTAGTGAATTAATCTGTAACTTCCTTTTTTGGGCAAAAATTGGTCATTTTTTCCTATTGACACTGGCCATTAATCTCATATCGCTTCACAAGATATATGTGCATTTATTTTTCTTTTTTCTTCTTCTTTTAATGCAGTTCTATGTATTTTTACATTTCTTGGCAAGGATAACAAAAAATGGTTTATAGTAGTTCATAAATCATATATCATAGTACAGTATACTGAGCTTTATTAATTTGAGAAAAAAACACAAGGTCTTATATTATGTTTACATTTAATTGTGTACATTTAACATGTAGATTAATGCAAAAATCAATGAATTCAAATCAAATTTAAATCACACAGTTGATTAGACAACAGCAACACTCAAAATCTGACTCCATGCACAGACTACAAAAGAAAGAGAATAATTTTTCAACTCATTTTTCATTTCAACAGCTAAAAGTATTTTTGTTTCCCATATATTTAAGCCTTAACATATAACTTAGTAGTGAGACATCAAAATGATTAATCAAAAGTTAGCATGGTAGCAGTTACATTTCCACATATAACTGTACTCTATATTTCGATTGCTTCTTGCTGTGTAGTATGTTAAAGCTGAACACGGCCACTTATGAAGCATACTGAGATCACAAGCCTTAGATATGGAAGTTCTCGCTCACTCAGTTTAAGTATCTAAAGAGACACCTCAGAGAATTCAGTATTCGTTTCAGTCCTCTAGCAGTTACTGCATTTGAACTTCAGTTTTAAGTCAAGAATCAGAATGATCTAGACGAGTATGTTGCTAGGCAGCAGGTGGAGATAGGATGAGAGCATTCCCTCAGCCCTAAGGGCTTTCTGAACCACAGCACCAGCGCCATCTCCTGCAGGGGCAACCATACTGCAATCAGAGCTCATCACTGGGAAGAGAAACGAATCAACAGCCACATAGATGTGATGAGCTACAGTACAATATAAATCACTCTATTCTGCTTTATCTCATTAGGACTGGATGCATACCCTGGCCACTGGCAGTGTTTGTCTGTCAGTGGGACGTAAACCACACCCATCAGTGCTTTCCTGAGGAAAGTACCATCGCTCTGACGGTCATACTGCTCGAGAACTTGGCTTCCACCCTCCGGGCCCACAGGCAAAACAAGTCTCCCACCTGGTTTCAACTGTTCCAGGAGCTGTTGATGCATACGTATAATAAGACTACTGCAGGCTATGTGAACAACAATTAAGTCTAATTCATTATGTGCATACAGCTTTAGGGAGTGTAGGAGCTGCTGCTCCAACATGAATAGCATCATAGGGGGCTTCATCAGGATAACCCAACCGTCCATCACCCACTGCAAGGCGAAAAAAAAGAAAAGCATTTCACGAAAACAAGTTTGTTAAACCATTCTTGTAATGTCACTAGCAATGACATAAACAGGTCCAATGAGAATGTCTGTGCTTCAACATACAAGAAAACATATTATTTTAATAAATTATTTTAATCACTCACCCACTAATTTAATTTGTCCAGAGGCAAGCAATTCTGGATCGTCCGCCTGGACATTTTTCACAGAGGCTTGCACCAGCTCATCTATGTGGTCAATTCCCACTACTTTTCCAGAGGGTCCTACCTGCAGAATAAACATAGCAAAATATAATGTACAACAGGAATCTGTATATCTAATTAAATAAAAGAATTATGTAAAAGAAATTTTTTTTTAAAAAGGAAAAAATGTGATGAAAGATGTTTAGATTTTATTGTACATAATTTTGTTATATAGATTTGTGTCTTGGTGTTTAAAATTTGAATTATTGTTCAAGTTGGTGTAGAATTATATTTTCTTCTTCAACATGATATATATATATATACCGTCCAACCTGACAGAACTGGAGAGGATCTGCAAGGAGGAATGGCAGAGGATCGCCAAATCCAGGTGTGAAAAACTTGTTGGATCTTTCCCAAAAAGACTCATGGCTGTATTAGATCAAATGGGTGCTTCTACTAAATACTGAGCATTTTTCAGTTTTTCTTTTTTAATAAATCTGCAAAGATGTCAACAATTCTTTTTTTTTCTGTCAATATGGGGTGCTGTGTGTACATTAATGAGGAAAAAAAATTAACTTAAATGATTTTAGCAAATGGCTGCAATATAACAAAGAGTGAAAAATTTAAGGGGGTCTGAATACTTTCCGTACCCACTGTATATATATATATATATAAAAAGACAGCGCTCACCATTCTGGCAAAGCATGCAGTGAGATATCCACTTCCTGAACCCACATCCATGGCTGAAGCTCCTTCTGTTAACTTGTCACTGAGGACCTCCAGAGCATGTGCATGCTACACAAGAAGTCATTCATTATTGCATATCAAATATAACAGTGACAACTATTTTAGAAGTGTTTGCCTGACCTACCATATGAGGGGCACTGATTGTAGCCTTGTATCCTTTGTAGAAAAAAAACAGTGTGAGTGAAATTGTTTTTTTTTTCTAGTTTGCTTCATGTATTCAAACCAATATACAGTGCACAGCATAAATGAGTACACCCCCTCTGATTAAATATAAAAAGATGTATTTTCTTAATGATCACTAATATAATTCATAGAAAGATGGCAAAATTGAAATGTATTAAACATATTCTTAATAAAAAGTGTACTCATTTATGCTGTGCACTCTAATATGCCTGCTGATGTATGAAATTCACCTATGGACTGGGGAGAGTCAGCATAAGGGTGGTCTCTGGAATAAATCCCTCTATCAGTGGCAAGCATGGCATTAAACACTCTGTCACTGCGGATAACTGCATGATCTGTCACAGAAGGACAACATTAAGCTCTTTACTACTGAATCTGTCCATTAAATGACATTTGTGTATTGAGATGTACAATAACATCTAAGCATTGTTTTTATATCACTATCTCTCTACTAACCTCTTAAGCGAGTGATGAGTTCTATATGTGTTTTGCCACTAGAGATCCATGCCATGGTTCTGGAGAGCAGCAAACCCATAGGGACCGCTACTGCTGCCAGCCTGAGCAGTGTCTGCATTGCCTAACAAGCACTGCCTGCAACAAATGATGCCTGGATTTCAACAATTGCCAAGTTCGGACAGTCTGTAAACTCACTCTGACGTACACCTGTCCTGAGTCTTACCCTGTTGAAAAAGATTACCAACTTAAACCACTTACACTTTGCCAAGCTGGTCTTCAAAGTCCTTAAAACCCTTTCAAATCCAACTAACACAGCAACCTTAACAAGCTGGGAGACTAACTAAAAGCAGCAAACCTAAGCTGGTTTAATATGTTTTTTTTCCCCAACAGATGTAAAAAAATTACATGCATTTAATTTTGTGTAAACTAATCAAAACCAAAAAAGTAATTGAATTTGTGATGCATGCAATAGTGTGTTTGTTCATTAATTTTAATAGCTTTAATGTATGGATCTACCTGTCTTTGGACCTCAGAGCACTGATGCGTTCAACATGCGTCCTTGATTCAGGTCAACAAACGTGAAAATCGGACCTGACCTAAATTTCATACGCCGGACATCAAATACACAATGAAATAACAGAATATTATTATATACGCAACAAACTGGGCTTTAAAAATGTTGTACGTAGTTTTTTTTTTTAAACGTACAACCAAAAATATCACTGAGCAATAAAAAGAACAACATGCAGCGTCTCTAGTACATGTTAGCATACTATTGTTTTAAAATGGTAACTGAGACTAAATAGGTGTATATAAATGACAAGCACATAACTATCAAAACATATCAAAAATCTTACTCGTAAATTTCGACCCGATGTCAACGTGCTGAAGAAGTAAGCGGAAGTAGTGTTTCCAAACACATCTCTACGACCAATCACATTCACGGAGTTACTGACGGACAGGTGCAACGGCCAATCAAAATTCCCTGCCGGTTACTTGCTTCTCAGCAGCAGTGAAGGCAAAACAAGAGAGAAGGATGGGTTTTAAATGCTAATGCTTGTATTTTTTCTCCTTTTAATATATCCTTTTAGGTCTGAGGTGCATTGAGAGCATTGTACTTTTAGGTAAGCACCACTATGTTAATTTTATGACTGATAATTTTCTACTGCTCCATTATATGGGTTTGCGTGAGACCTAGTAATGTCAACAATCATTAAGACTTTGTTATGGAAACAACGATCGCTGTTAAAACTTAGCATTTTTTCCTTTATAGAAACCTGACAAGCCTGTCTTTTTATTTTTAAACCATTAATGTTGATATCCCATGTGTTTACAACACGCATGTCGCTGCAGATTGTTTATAATTAATTCTTCATTAAAAATGTGCTTTAATTACTAGAAACGTGATGATCGACGACTTCGAAACTCATGCGGTCCGATCTAGTGGAGATCTGTGGACTGAGATCTGCTCCAGTCTGCCAGAGCCTCAGGAACAGGATGGTGGACAATTTACAGACTCATTTGAGCCTTCCTCTCCAGGTAACCCTCAGACCAACTCTCCCAGAGCTTCTTTCAGCCCCTGGGAACCAATGGCTGACTCTGAGGTTTACATTGCCAGTTTAGGTACAGGAAATTCCATTTGATAAGCATGTTATTTAATACGGCCTGTTGATTTCGTTTCTAAGAGCATGTTATTTTGCTACAGAAAATCGATTGAAAAGGATCAAGGGACAATCGAATGACGTAACATCAAGGGAAATGCTCCGTTCCTTGTCCCAGGCTAAAAAGGAATGCTGGGATAGATTCCTTCATGATGCCCAAACCTCAGAACTGTTCCAGGAAGGGAACTTCGATCAGAGGTACTGTAAGGATGAGATCTGTAGCTCTCAGGCATCTTGAACTATTCAGCCTCACTTACTTTTGCAGATGGGATAAATGTCTACACATATTATAAAAATGCAACTTTTAATAAATGCTGTTCTTTTGAACTTTCTATTCTTCAAAGAATCCTGAAAAGTTTCCGTAAAACTTTTCCATAAAAAAAGCACAACGGTTTTCAACATTGATAATAATAAATGTTTCTTGAGCAGCAAATCAGCATTTTAAGGATGATTTCTAAATGATCATGTGACACTCAAGACTGGAGTAATGACTGCTGAAAATTCAGCTTTGCCATCACAGCAATAAATTACATTTTAAAATATATTTAAATAGTAAACAGTTATTGTAAATTGTAATAATATTTCACAATATTACTGTATTTTTGATTAAATAAATGCAGCCTTGGTGATCACGAGAGAATTAAAAAAAAAAAAAAATTTAAATAAATAAATCTGGACCCCAAAAATCTTTCTACTTGGAAAATGCTGATACTTTTTAGGACCATTCTGCGCACACACCAGACTGTTTCAGCATATATATTTTCTACAATTTCTCACTTGAATGTTCTACTTTAGTTTACACAATAACATGTCAGAGGAAGGTCAGGACTCTGAATTGGCCAATCTAAAATACTTAATTTATTCTGCTTGAACCACGCTGTTGTTGACTTACTCATGGATTGCGTCTGTGACCCAACATCACCCATGGCAAGTATGCTTGCAGCTGCTTAGCCAGATAAGAAGCCCACTCTGGTGCAAGTAGGGAATGGTGATGATACCTTACCAATTGTAATTGGTCCTGAGGTCCTCTGAAGATGCAATATTTTAATTAGAATATTATTATCCTAAAGATTTTTTTCCATTAATGACCTTGATTAGGCTATTATTCAGAAATCCAGGCAATTTCAAAAGATTAATTTTTCTCTTTGCTGATGATACAAAAAATGGCATTTATTTCTGTGGTCAAATTAATTTAATCAGCTCTTCGGTTTGCGTGTAATTATTCGGTCTTGTGTATCCTGCAGTGCTTTGGAGCAGTTCAAGCGCTGGCTGTCTCCTGAAAGGGTGGCCATCAACGCAGAAGAGCTGGAGTACCTTCTCTTGCCCACACAGAACAGTGAGGCTCCTGCCAGCTCAACCCAAACTGACAAGCCAAGTGAGGAGGAAGAGTGCCCAAGCCCAGAGAAATAAACTTATCACAGCATTAACCTGTTTGCTGTACTGACCAACAGTGCTAGGAGAACTAAGAGTATATGGGGTCTTGTTGTGGACAGCAACTAAATATTGTGATCCATTAAAAGGATTAGTTCACTTCCAGAATAAAAATTTCCTGATAATTTACTCACCCCCATGTCATCCAAGATGTTTGTTTCTTTCTTTCTTCATTCACAAAGAAATTAAGGTTTTTGAGGAAAACATTCCAGGATTTTTCTCCATATAATGGACTTCAATGGTGGCCAACGGGCTGAAGGTCCAAACTGCAGTTTTAATGAAGCTTCAAAGGGCTCTACACGATCCCAGCCGAGGAATAGGGGTCTTATCTAGCGAAACAATCAGTCATTTTCTTTAAAAAGTAATAATTTATTCCTTTTAACCACAAATGCTCGTCTTGCACTAGGTCGACTTCACGCATTACGTAGTCACATTGGAAAAGTTACGCGTGATGTAGGCGGAAGTACCGACCCAGTGTTTACAAAGCAAACATGCAAAGAAAGTCAAATGCTCTTTACGAAAAAAGGTAAAGCAATAACGTCGGATGATTTCGAAGTTGGAGGAGATGGAGTCCAAACTCCAAATGAGATGGAGTTTTTCACCCTACTTTTTGAACCGGAGTACACAGACGAAAAGCTCACTGTGCGTGACCTTTCCAATGTGATTACGTAATGCGTGAATTTGCGGATGCAGAGCTAGTGCATTTGTGGTTAAAAAGTATATACGTTTTTTTATTTTATTTTAGAAAATGACTGATTGTTTAGCTATAAGACCATTATTCCTCGGCTGGGATCGTGTAGAGCCTTTGAAGCTGCATTGAAACTGCAGTTTGGACCTTCAGCCCGTTGGCCACCATTGAAGTCCATTATATGGAGAAAAATCCTGGAATGTTTTCCTCAAAAATCTTAATTTCTTTGTGAATGAAGAAAGAAAGAAACGAACATCTTGGATGGCATGGGGGTGAGTAAATTACCAGGATTTTTTTATTCTGGAACTGAACTAATCCTATAATCGGATCATTTGATTCACATTTAAATGAAGGTGTCTTTGGTTGTGCATGCCTCTCAATCTGGTTTCAACTCCAGATTCATTTTTGTATCCTCATATTTGTTGAACTGAAAGAAATGCATGTGTGAATTAAAAAATCTCTTTCTTTGAGAAATTTTACTTGCCAAGTAACATGCTCTGCAAAAGCAGAAATCTGATTTGTTGAGAGAACTACAAGCATAATCTGAACAAAGTCAAAACTTGACTACATGTTATCATGGAGCATTCAACATATGTATTTTCAAATTAATTGAATTATTTACTATTGAATTAAAAAAATTTTTTTTTTTTGTTATTCCTTTTCTGTAGTATTGTTATACACTAATCCAAGCATACACAGACAATACATTTATAAACACATTTTTTCATGCATATTTACATGAAATGATAATCTAATATCTGTCATACATGTAAACATTCCTCTGAATTCAAACATGTAGGTCAGTGCAGTGGAATAGACGACCACTAAATGAAACATTAGTAGAGAATGTTAAGTGTAAAGAGCCTATTGTCTCTAAACATGTTAGTAACTGTACACTTTATTCTGAAAAGATAATAAAAGCTGTGAAGGAGCCATAATGAGATTCTTGTGTGACCTTTGTAGTGATGCACACTGATATTTTTGCCGAGCACTAACCAATAGATGTCACTATTGTTAAATATGGATGAAGCAGCACTCCAGGGTATTCCTGTCATTATACTGTTAAAGCATCATTGCTTTGTTCCACAGGTCAATATTTTTTTATTATATATCAAATTATTCATATTATGCGTATCAAATTATTTTTTTAGTGCTTTATTTACTTTGACATTTTAGTATTCAAATTTATTTTTTCTGTTTCCAGATTCCTCCTCAACATCGTAAGTTGTTGTGTGTACAATATATATTGATCAAGCTCAGTAGTTTGCCTTACAGCCCATGATACATTACTGATACTGAACCAGGAAAGAAAACATAGGTAATGTCTCGTTTGCCTTTTTAGGTGTCTCATTAATACATGTATTTTTGTAAGAGTGGTTCATTACTAATACAAAGAATATTTAAATAACAAAAATATGCCAAATCGGAAAGAATGAAGGATTTAATAGGAGCGCTCGATTTGTTCGCACCTATAATGACGACCAAATATCCCGTCTTTGCAGGTTTTTATTTTAAATTGTTCTTTAATTAATGCGTTCGTTTTTATAATTAAATGATTTTTGTCATTTTTTGTTAGTTTTTTTTTTTAAATTGAATTTAATTAGTTTGATTTATTTAATTACATTATCAATTTAGCCGAAGGGAAGGTCTGTGAAATCATGTTGGAACAATGCAAGTTTTTCTAGCATTATATAAGTAGGCTGGTCGTTACTGAAGGTTCCACACACTTGTGCGCATTGACGGGTCGAGGGAAATCTCCAGTCATCTGAGCGATCTGAGCGCTCAATATGTACACGAGTTGCGAACGTTTTAAGGAGGAAATTTACGTGGGTTGTATTTAATAAAGGCAACGTAGTGATTTACCCAGTCTGTGAAGAAGTCGTACCTGTATCCTTAAACTAAGTGCTCTTGGATCATGCAGCATCCACTGAAGAAGTGATCAAAAGGACAAAGGTGGGGAAATGTTTTAGCTTAAACTGAAATAATGCTGTGTGTGTTGAAATAATGTTTTAATTGGCAAGCTAATTGAATTGCACAGAGCGATATTAAACACACGATACAAGGTATTTTTAGGTGCAGAAAATTAATTAGTAGGATCAATAGCCTAGTTGTCTCTAAATGTAAATATAGCCTATATTTGGAACTCGGAAACATGCATTTAATGGATATTAGATTTAATAATTGCTACTCAATCATCATAATTTCATATATCGAAAAGGGTTTTTCGTCTTCTAAACTCCTCATTTATCACCAAAGGACGGTAAGTCAGGTTAAGCTCATTACTGGACTGAATCTGTCTTTTTAGGTTTGTGGGGACTGGCTCCCCCATTACAACTGTTAAATTACCTCTCTAGTGCTGAGGAGAGAAGGATCTGAGTAATGTAACTGCTGTCTTCATTTAGACTTGAGCTCTGCTGCTGTTCATATACGGTCTGGTGGGAAGCAGTAGCAACATGTTCAGAACAGATCATATTGTAGACTATTTGACAGAAAGCAACATACAGGACTTTCAGTCTCACAGTGTTCTCTGCATGTTCAGAGTGCCCATAACTGTCAATTAATAATGGAAATCCACATACACTAGCAATATGAATGCATCAGGTAAACTAATCTACACAGGCCATTTATCTTTTGTTCTGTTGTGTTTGTTTATTCAGATGTTTCATTAGAACTGTCCTATGCTTTTATATTAATATTCCCATTATGGGTCATGTTGTCACAACTAAAACTGACATTAAATCACAATTGCTTTTCATGCAAACTGTAAAGTAATTTATTAAATTTGCCGAAAAGTAATAAGCTGTTTCAACAGCAGATAATTTTTTCTTCTTCTATTACTTCTTCTTATTCCTTTAATCTTTTACAGTGAACACTTGTCAGTCTGAGCAACTAACGTCTTGTAAGGGTCCTCTAACAGATAGAAGCCAAAAAGTCTGCTTAAGTTTTTCAGTCTTAGACAATTTCAAAGAGACTTCTTGTTCACAAGTACTGTACGTACAAGTGGCTGTTCATGGAATTTTATCTCAAAGAGATACACTAAAGCACTGCGTACACTAAAGCACTGTAGCTAGAAACTGAAGAAAGAGTTAAGTGTTTTGCTATCGCAATTTGCTATTGCGTGGAATTTTGCAATTATCATACTGAAGTCCTGACTGAGAATCATTTCAAGAGGTTATTTGTACATCTCTTCACTTATGAGGACAGAGAACACAGATTTGCTGTTTTCTTGTACACTGTAGTCTGTTCAAATCAGGTTGTATGGTAGGTGTAGATTACTTTGCCATAAGTCTTTCCTTTATATTGTAGATTAGGAATGGCCTTTCTGTTCTACAGACAAAAAGTACATGACCTCTCCACTTTAATCACAAAAAAATAATGTAAAAGTGGACTTCCAATCTGGGCAGGTGTAGTGTGATCTGTGCTGATATCACGAAGGTCATTTAGAGCCAACAAAGTGCTGAATTTGTTTCAGGCAAAAATGTTCCAGCAATACATTTATTTACATTTTTTTTCTAAAGCAGTGGTTCTGATCCAGACTACATTAAATATGAGTTTACATACAAGAGTAAACATGGTTAGCACTGACCACAGTGTAGTGTAGTGAATTATTAGCTACCAACAGCAACCATTGAAATACAAGACATTTAGATTACAAAATGGTTAAATTTCCTATTTATTTCTATTCATATTACCAATATTCAAATTTACAAATATACAAGCAATATACAAAATGAACATTCAAAATAATTATTTTAATGAATATTATTCATGTCATGTTACATGTTAATATGTTAATACTGTGAAATATTGCTATAATTTAAAACAACTGTTTTCTTTTTTTTTAATTTAATTTATTCCTTTATAGTCTTCAGTGTTACACGATCCTTCAGAAATCATCCTAACATGCTGATTTGTTGCTCAAGAAACATTTATTACCAATAACTGATAATAACTGATACATTTTTTTCAGGATTCTTTGATGAATGGAAAGCAGCATTTATTATTCAGTCTTTACATTTACTTGAAATCAGCATTAATTTGAAATATTTTGTAACATTAAGGATGTGTCACTTTTGATCACTTTAGTGCATCCTTGCTGAATAAAACAATAAAAAAAAAATCTTACTCACCCCAAACTTTTGAACAGTAAAATATACATTCACTTTCTGTTTACATTTACAATGTCTTCAATTTACATGTCACTTTTTTTTTTCAAACAGGTGTCAGTGTTTTGTCTTCATACGATGATGGACATGGACTATCTCCATAACGAATCGTGGAAAAACATGACTTTAGATGCATCTGCCTCATCATTCAGTGGACTGCAGCTCCTGATGGACCTGAAGCCACTCTTCATCCCCCTGTATGCCATGCTCGTCCTGGTAGCGTGTTCTGGAAATCTCCTCCTCCTCATCCTCATCGGACTGACCAAGAAACTTCACAGCACTACAAACTT